TTGATCTATTACTCTTAATTGAGGAACGAGAGCCAATAATTATTTATTGAAACGAAAATTGTTTAATTAGTTTGAGACAAGTGACGGAGCCCGACTAGTCGAAATACCAAATCGAAGATAGCCCTGTTTATATTAAATAGAATTTATTCCCCTTCGATTCCGCAGTAGAATAACTGTTGTTGTTATTTTATTGTGGGTAACCCTTATTTGGAATCACGAGTGATTTGAAGCTCGGATAGGAGTTGAGAAGCGCGCATTTAATTTAATATATAAATAGATCACTTGTAAGCAGGCGACCACAGTATACGTGTAATATCAGACAATCTTTTTCAGAATTTCCCTGAAGCCTGGCAAAATTTGATGGAGTTGCCCTAGTTGATGGTGCCTCAGGAGGGTAGTGTTCAAATATTTCTTGCCTATGTCTCTTTGCATCACTCTCCAGAGATCTCTTACTATTGTCTGTGGCTTTTCTCTTAGTGGAAATGCCTTTAAAAATAGACATATGACAAACAAACAAGACAAACACAGGTTAGCCTATGCTGCATCCAATGAACAGGATAAATGAATGCAGAAGGGTGTCTACTATACCCTAAGTACTCACTACTCTATCATCAAAGTACTTGCCATAACAAGGATTGCTCCTATTCCTCCTATTGGAATCTGGGAATTCGATTCAACCAAAGAGGACATGTTATTTTCTCGTTGTGCAAGATAAGGAGTCATATTCGGTATTTCTTGAGATTGGGGTATAATGTCCTCACTATTTTCGCTAATGCTAGTTTCAGATGCACTAGCATTCTCACTTCGTGAGTCACTTACCTTGGGGTTGATCTCGGTATCATTTTTTGGTAGTTCGAATAATTTAGGAGCGAAAGGCCAAGATAAATTTCTTAACTTCATGTACATCTCTCCGCAATTATCATGAAGAAACCGGTTGACAGTATCTGATAATGGTTTGAGGTTTAGAAGTAGCATTCCTGGTGATCGATGTTGTGAGAGCTGGCAATATTCGAGCTGGTATAGGGAAGAGGGTTATATAGAGTGTACGCACCAAAGTGCTCGATGAAATTTGACCAGAACTCGTCGCTCCGATGCGAAGGATGCTTTAGAGTATGATAATAATATTCATTAACGGCATTGGTTGCTTTCGTCACGGCGCTTTGATCATTAAGATTTTCAAGATGGACCAAGGTTCGTCTATCCATGTCTGTGATACATTCAGGTTCGGATATATATAGTGAACTAGAGATGCTTGAGATATGCTTCGCAGAGATTTCTGCTAATTGGTTGTATCTTTTGTAAGGAGAATCGATTCATAAGTAGTGGTTGTATGCATATAATGAGTTGGTGGAATATGTTTAATGGAGGCGGTGTTATATTGTAATTGTCTGTAGAGCTTGATTTTTTGTTCGCGAGAAGATGGGATTATGTGATGTAGATATTGTTGATTAATTGGGGTTGTAAATTGCTTATGTCTACTCGAACAGGGGCTTGGCCCAACATATTTTGTTAACATAATGTGATTATAATGAATGCTGATATTTACTAAATTTATCCATTTATCACACAGTTACGTAAATGCAGAAATGACAGAACACTAATGCGTGTATAGCAACTGTTCTACTGGAGACATAGCTATCATAAGCAATACTTGTACGTGAGAATTACATTAATGATGTCATTGGTATTAATGATGATTGGAATTCTCGATACTATGGTAATAGCGATAAAAATACATTTATTTCTAAAAGTTAGGAACTATCGTTTAGCACGTAGCTTGACAATAAAGCCATTGATCTACTTATGATAACAAAACTGCGGCCTGACCTTCTGGTGCAGAAAATACCGACATACAGTTGACGCTGTCTATAGTGAACCGAATCTAATA